CATCGATAGTGTCATCTCATTTTTAGCTCTTCAGTTAAGTAATTTTAATTCAGGAATACAAAGATAAAGTTTAGATGAACTTAACTTTTTGATATTTAAATTTAATCTGCCTTTTAACTTATAGGCCTAGAAAACATTTACATGGATGTGTCCTGCTATCTTAATATTAAGAAAGAACTGAAACAATGAAATTTTAAACTCAAAGTCACAAACAAGGTTCTAGCGTTACGGAAATATAACAATCTGTTTTCTTTAAAGTATTGTACACATCAATTTTACGGTTTTTAAACGAAAATTGGTTCACAAGTATTCTTTCAATACTGTAACACTTGTTTTATATCCACAACTTGTTTATACATCTATGGAATATTATGTGGTATTTTTATCACAAGTTCAGTGTGATGTTGTTCTATTTTAAAGCCATAAATAAGTATAGAAATAAACCACACCATCGGTTTCTTCTCCTTGCAAGATTCAAAATCACTTTGAAATCGACAAAATCAAGATCGCGTACTCTTGATATGAAAGTGATGTCTTCAAGGAGAAATGTTGAAATCAAATAAAATCTTTGATTGACTTTATGATTCGATGCGGGGAACATGTTATTGAAGATCAAGAACAAATACAGCATTTTAGGGATTCAAGTTCGTGGAAAGAAAAAAACTCTTTAACCATAATTCAATAAGTGAACATTTTTGGCATATCCTTAAACAAAAGCTTTTAAAATCAAAAACTTTATGTTTTTCAGGAATTGTGATAGAAAATATACACCAATGCGTTCTTTAAACATCGTGATATAACAAAAACACTATTAATTTTGTTGGAGATTTTTTCTAGGCTTAGGTAAAAGTATTTTTTACGTAATTTGCAAGTAGAGCGAATTCTTTTTCTACATAGAAAAATAATTTTAACGTAATTTGAAGCAATTTCATACTTAAAATGAACTATCAATTTTTGAAACTACTAATACAACAGTAGTAAAACTTTGATTCAGTTCAGTGTTTTATGTCTAACAGAGGAAATTCTTTAGAAAATTGAAAGATCAATACCCTACAATAAAAAATATCCATTCCCAAAAATGTAAAAGGCTTAGCAAAAGCTTTAAAAAATCGTCTAAAAACCATTGAAGTCCGTTCATTCTTTTTTCCGAATACTTCGCTATTTTATCACACGAATTTCTTTATTTTCTTTAAAGTGATGTAAGATTGTTGGTCACAAAAGAATAAAGTTAGCCAACCGACAAAATGGATCCTATAATATCCGGCTTATTTGCAGTCAGACGCATTTAGTTGCAGTGTAGGCAAGTGTCAGAGGGTCTTTAGCACTGTTTACCTTGCGGTTGGAGCGGGCTTTCGTTTCGGATCGGTCCCTCGGAGTCGGAGGCACTGAGGCATTGGCCTCAGCCTCAACTGGCGCCCATTGTAGACGCCTGAGCGACAATCTTAGCCGTCAGCCAAGCATGATCCCAGGTGCTGGGGAAGGGGAAGGGGCAACACGGGGTGCTCAATGCAGCTTTGGCCTGTCACTAGGTCTTTGTCTCTTTGCCACCTTCCCCAATGCACTCAGAAAAAATGATACATCGAATACACTTTTCAGCTTCGAAATTATGAATATAATCTCTTTTTCGATTATGGCGAAACAGAAGGACTGAAGACTGATCACAGACATTACTTTCTTCTAAAAATTGTGCAGTGCTTTAAGGGGCTTAAAAGCCAAATTTAATTAAATTTTTATATTTTCTCAGAAATTAAACGATTTACGGCAGGGATTTTCTTAAAAAAGTATTATCCGTAAATACCAAGCAAAGAAATGTGTTGGGCTTAAAAAAGCCTTTATAAACATATTTAACTTTGGTTGTCAAACTTGTGCTTTTAATGTACCATGCATATACGGAAAACGCGGAATATCCTAACAAAATGATCTATTATATGTTGAATTTGCAATGAAATGACCGAAGATAAAATGGTCGCTTACCCGTGAAAGTTTGCACTCGATTGCGGTTGCAGTGAAAAGATGCGAAATGTGCGGCTCGTGGAGCAGAGAAGTGGGTGCGGGGGAACTTGTAAATAATGCTGGAAAAGTCAACTGCCGTTCTATTGCTAATTATAAGCATGGTGTAAATTTACAATGCTTGTGTTTACTGCTCACGAACAACCGATTATATGACTATATAGTTATGGCCTCCGCTGTGACTTGGCACTCGCGCCCACACACAAGCGCGCAAATATATATTCACACTTGTATATATGTTTACCGTATACCTATATATATTTGACAAAGGTTGAGACAAACGAGAAGACAAAAGGCAAATGACGGAACTGTTGTCAGGTATATTCCCACTCACACTGGCACGGCAAACTCGACTCATTTTCATTCACTTGCTACCGTTCTGAAGCTCTTGTGTCTTCATTTGTCATTTTCGAGCGAAGAACTCTGATATTTCCACATTTCACTTATTGTTTATCACTTCTGCGAATAGGAAATCAATGTTTAGGCAAAACCTCCACCAAATACAAACATACACGTGCGCACACACACAAAAATATGCGCGGAACCGACCTTGAGATTGAATAAAAAGAGAATTAATAAAACAAAAATGACCTGTTTAATTCATGAGAAAATCCAGATGGAAGATATGGCTGGGAAAAAATGGGGAGTGTTCGTTAGAGGGAAACTCAAGGCTGAACGAAAGAGCTTTCGAAGGCACTAGAAAATGTGTGCGTTTAAGGCTTATTAAGAGGAATTACCATTCAACGCGGTCAAAGCAAACATTTTTTTTCTGCTACATTTTTTTCATTATTGAGACTACGTAAGAGAAGCTATATTTTGATTTTCAATGTGGACCGCAAGTTATATGCTATGCTTACATCTATGAAGAGCTTTTTTAAAAATCGTACGGTTCTCCGTTTCGCAAACATTACTATCCGAATGCAGAAGAATTGCAAGAACTTGGAGTATCAAAATCTATCCACCACCACATAAAGTGATGATTAATTTCTTGGCATACACAGAACAAAATTTAATTGTGCATCTACAAAATGTAGGTAAAATGGCCGAAATCAATGTAAATACTACTAACAGTCATGGGCAAAATGTAACTATCACTTAATCTTACATATACCATGGTGTTTCATTAAGTAATAGTAACTTTTTACCCATGATTTTAGAAAGTGAACAATCGTATCAAAAAAACGGTAAGCTACCGCATTTTCAGTAAAATTCGTATTTAAAATCGTCCATTACTGTTTTAAAAGTGGGACTGCAATTGTTTTGTAGAAGTTTGTGAGGACTGATTACAGAAATGATTGAAATCTTCACAATCAGTGTCTGTCTTAGTGCCCTAAAACCAGTTAGGAATTATAAGTAGAAGAAAATCCAAACAATTTCATTTTTCATAGTTTTACATTTACTTACGGTAAGCAAAACAACTGTCAAGAAAAGAGCAAAATATATAGATAATATGAAAAGTATACATATTTATCATTTTTTGGATTTGATTCAAAAGAAAAAATGACACAATAACTTGCAAGGTTCCATAATGTTTAAAAAAAAAATTGCAAAAAAGGTTTCAATGTTCAATGTTAAAATTCAAAGTTTTTAAAACTTTTCAAAAAATAATTTCATGTTGCTATTTAGTTTGATACGGTGCTAATGGGATGATCTAAATGAAAAAATTGTTGAAAATTTGTCTGCTATAATTGTATTGTAATTTTGTGGAATTTAATTACTCCCGACAAGTCGGTAAAATTTTACCATGTCTAAACATCTTGGACATAGTTGTGAACAAAATAATCATTTGCGCCAAACTGTCAAATACTTCAATTGGATGTTGATCCAATATGATCAGCACAAACGGAAGGACTTCATTATGTCAAACACTGATCCTTATAATCCGGCATTAATAAATTAAAAACACACACAAATCGACTCATTAAACGCACTGGATGCCAAAAAGTTGACAGAGAACACGGAGACGGTGCATGAGAATGATCGAGCCGAAAGTGCAAGTCGTTTAATCGCTTCACCTGAACTTTTGTACTTGCAGACTCTTACGTGAAGCCTTACGCCTCGAATTGAGGAAAAGTTCACCATGCCAAGCCATATTTATTATTAAAAATAGACTTTTAGAAAGTCTTTTATTACCGAAATATGCCAACATTTTTTATTTTTCATCTAAAACACGTTGACCGTTAAGGTCATAAAGGCATACATTTTTCGCATGTTAGACTTTACAAATACTTACAAATTTCTTTCAGTTTACAGCAAAAACGCATTTAACATTTTAGAATTGAGAAGCGTTGTTTATAAAGCAAAATTATGGCGATATTTTAAAATTGTATTTAAAATTTATTGCTTCATTGTATGAGGATATTCAAAAATTACGTATACGAAACGTGAACTTTATTTAATCCTAATATAACAATTAAATTGGAGTTAAATATAGTTGGCCAATGCTAATTTTTTTTCTTAAAGTGATCGGGGTATAAAAATAACCTCACAAATAGTTTTTATTTTTTACATTTACAAGAAAATATAAATTTCCAAAATGACTATACATAAATGTTAATCGTGAAAAAGCCTAATAGTAGAAAAAATAAGAAACTCTAAGATCAACAGAGTAAGTGTAGAAAACTATTGGCACACTAGCTCGTATTAAAGTTAATTTACTATATTGAATAGGTATTAATGACAGTAATCTTTGGAAGTGATAAGTTTTTCAAACTCGATGTTAAGTGCCTGTTTTAATTCGAAATAAATCTAAAGCCCACAAAGTAGTTGTCAGCGAAAAGAATATGATTAGGAGAACTCAAACTTGAAGTATTTCCATCAAATTGAAGTAATAGTTTTCATATCCATTAGTTTTTGTTCGATTGTGATATTTTTAATGCAAAACTGTTAAGGACAAAGGCCGTTTTAATACCAATATTGGTGACTAATTTAGTGGGATTTCCCGATTTTCCCCCTTCCCCCGCGAGTTGAATTTTCATAGCTTAGCTCACCTGTGTTGGTGTTGGTGTGCGTCGCTGTTGATACGTTGCTGCAGTTTTGTGGCTGTAGTTGTAGATGCTGTTTTAGTTGCTCTTTCTCACACACACACACAGATGCACACACGCACACATGCAACCCCACGTGCGTGTGCACGAGATTTATTTGTTCTCGAAATTCTCTTGTTTAATTCTCCGTGTTTAATTTTGGTTTCTTGAAATATTATTTTTTTTAGAATACGTCTTCGTTTCTTCCTCTTTTTCGCTGCTGCTGTTCATGATGATCAACTCATAACTCGGCTAAAAATATATGGACAGTAGGCATATTGTTGTTGAGTCCCGGCACTGAGTTCGATTTGGTTTTGGTTTCGGTTTCATTGCGAGGCCTTTTAGCCCCAGGTTTTTTGACCATTTTCTGGGGTCCGGGCTGGTGTCCTTTGGCTCTCTCTTTCTTCCGTGCGAAGAGGACAAGCGACAGGCGGAGGTCGCAGTGCCGCCGCTTTTGAAAACGGTTATAAAATCGCGCGACACCGACACGAAATTGGCGCTGCTTTTGGCCGCTGTCGCCGTCGCCTTTGCTGCTTTTGCGCCCCGATGTCGCCATTTTTCGCTGGCCAAAACTTTTATGCACTTTGCACTCGCTCTCGCTCGCTCGCACTCGCACGCGCCCCTGCACATGCAGTTGGTGCGCTCTCGTTCTCGCACGCCCTGCGACACAAACAAGCAGTACACACACACACAAACACACACACTCTGACACCCGCACAGCGACGACACACAATCAAAAACCCATTCGGCTACTCGCCCACGCCCCCTTTGCCCACTCTCTCTCGTTCTAATAAAAGCCCCCTCCCCCCGGCCCCATCGTTTGCCTTTCGACCAATGACACTCGACGACAATATTAGCGAGCACACACACACACAGGCATACGGACACACTGGCACGCACTCGCACACACACGCACACATGCACGCAAAAAACGAGTCACAAAAAACGAATGACGACGTCGCCGCCGACTGCGACGCGAGCAGCGCAGTCGGCAGATGCTGGGGACACGAAACGAAAAAGGGAAAACGGGAAAAAATCAAAGAGAGCGGGGCGCTATGTAATCCAATCCAAGAAGTGGGCGTGGGTGGGGTGGTTAAAAAACGAACGCACCGTGCAAAACCAAGGAAGCCAATCCAAAAGACGCAACGACAAGCGACAAAACGACAAGCGACAAACGACAAACGACGACGGCGACACTTTGCAGCGAGTGCGAGTGGGATGGCTAGACTCGGGGATTGGAATGCAGAAACGAGAGGATAAAAAAAAGAAGCTAAATAAATAGCAGGCACACGAAGCAGGACATTCGCTGTTATCCTGACGCCTTCCCCGTCCCCTTCGGTCCCTTCCCCCTCTCCCACCCCATCCACCTTTTTCTCACGCCCACACAATGTCCTGCGAGGGGCGGAGCACTTTACCAATACCATTACACGCGAATCCTTGTATCTTTGGTCTTTTTTCGTTTAGCACAGTAATAACAGTAACAACAATAAAAAAAAATACAAAACTCAAAATATAAACTAACGCTTTTAGCGACGGCAAAACGAACGCGTCGCAAAAGGTGTGGTGTTACTTTTGCTGTTGTTGTTGTCGTCGATGTTGTTGTTGTTGTTGGTTGTATAAACAAAACTCGACCGCTGGCTATTCCGATCCGATTCTTTTGCTTTTTCCGATTCTTTTGCTTTTTGCTTTTTCCGATTACCGATTCGATTGCGGTGTGCGGTGCGATGCGATGCGGCAGCGGCAAGTCGACTTCACTGTTTGAAATCACGTCGCCGTCGCTTTTGCTGCTTTTGCCGCTTGGCGCTCCGCTCGCAAGAAAAAAAAGACATCTGGGAGCCAAACAAAGCACGCACACACACGCAGCGCCTCTATTTACATGCGATATTCTCTGGACACTCGCATACACACACACACCCTGGCACTCGCCGTGCACCCCATACACAGCCACACACATACTCGCGCCCGCTGGCTGTCCATTCGCTGTGTACGTGTGTGTTGTATTGCCAGCTCCCTCGCGCTCACACAATAGTGCCCAGGTTGAGAGCCAAAAGCAAGCAGTGTATAAGCAGTGCTAGCGCTAAGAGAGCCAGCAACCGAGAAGAGAGACCTCCGCGCTCTCTTTGGCTAAAAAGAGAGTCCTTTGACGGTAGCGAATATTATTTTTTTTCCTTATCTTCTTGTTGGGTATAATTATTTTTCGATAGAAATTATTCATGGAAAGCAAATTGTGGGAAATGGTAATTTAAGGAGTCCAGTCGGAGTGGGGGCAAACTACTTAAGATCACATATTACATAACTAAAAACAGACAAAAGAAATCATTTCAAATTGAAAAAAAAAAAACAAATATTATTAGTACTTAATTTATAAGTTTTGTTTAATTTAATTGATAAATTAGATTAATGAAGTATGTGCATATGCTTTTTTTGCGGCAAAATGTTCAATTTGCAAAAGTTACTTAAAGGTGCTATAGAATTCATATTCCAAAAATTTCGTTGGGAATTTGGTTGGAAGGCACTTATGTTGTATGTATGATTGATAAATTATTGTTAATTGTAAAAATGGTGACTGAGACCATAATTCAAAAGCTTTTAGTTCTGGGATGACCAGCAATAGACAAGAAAACAAGAAAATGTCAATCTTCGGCAAGCCGAATTTAATATACCCTGATAGCTATGCAAAAATTAATATATAATTAAATGACTGGATATCTATTTTCATGCATATATGTACATATGTTTAAAATTATTTTAAAAATAGTATTTTGCAATACATTATTTGATTGTTCCTATGGCTTATATTGCTGCCATATATGTATTTATATCTGTTTTCATAAATATGAAATTGTATTCATTTTTGAAATTGTAAAATATCTTATTCCCAAATTACATGCGTATATCTTGAAAAGCAAAGAAGCTATGTCAATTTTCTTTTGATTTTGGGCTCTTTCCTATTAAAGCACTATGATACAGTCTGCCGATTTTTAAAAGCTTAAAATCAAAATTTTTAAATGTAAATAATGGCTATTATATTCTATTTTGCTTACAATATTTTTTTCTAATGCTCCTGTAGCGCAATATCATATATAATGTTTGATCTGTCCCCTCCGACTTTTGAACTACCTGTAATATAAATAAGACATTTGTGGAAAGTTTTATAAGGAAAACTTTAAAAATGAGAGCAGAATTGGATAGCGCTATTTTCCTAGTGATCAAAAAAATATATATTTTATCGGGAAAAGTCTGTCTTGGCTGAAATTAAAATACCCTATGCAAGGCATACATATATTTTTTTATTATACATGCATAGTTGGCTGGCTTTAACATTATCATTTGAAGATTTCCTAAATAAATATATTCGATTAATATGCTTGGTTTCAAACGTACCAGTATTAGAAAATATTGTATACATTAACATTGGGGCGGAACAAGTAAATTGCACTTTGAAAGGACCAATTTGTTTGAAAAAACGCCATTAAGGGTCTGCGCATTGGCTTTAAGGTTTATCACTTAAACGTACAAAACTAGATTTGTAATCAATCTGGGAAGCTTTTCGAAAACTTTGAGTTATTTTTGCAACACCTAACTATTATTAATTCATAACAACTATAATAATTAATTAAGTAAATATTCCCTTACTTTAAAAGTGACCATGACCTCTGAAGTAAGAAACTAATTGTCATTTTTGAAACAGCAACTATTAATATCCAAAAAATAATTATTTTAAAGTTAGATTTGTCTTTTAAAATGTACGGCTATTTAGAGAGTTTTTAAGTATACAATTTTAGAACTAAGACAAATGTTAGCTTCTTTTCTAATCTGGCTCCTATGAAATTTCCGAATGTAATTGTTTCCAGTTATGCCATTTATTTGGGAGCGACCGTTCTGCGAGACTTTTAAAAGGTATTTGCATTAAAAAAATATATATATACATATAATTCTGAAAATTACATGTTGTTTTTTTTAAATGAGCAATACAGTTCATAGAAACAAAAGGTCAGGGGACAGATGTTTGGCATCATTATCATATGGTCATAAAAATCAATCAAAGTCTTTCAATTACGCATAACATCTTCAGAATTAAAAATGTTTAATATTTTATTGTATCAAAAAAATTAATTTATTTATATATACCTGTGTAAAAAACATATAAAGAAAATAAAAATTATAGTAATTTTCTGCACTTATATCAACTTTAGGAGTATGCAAACTTGTATATTTAGTTTAGACTGTTCTTAATTTTCTGACATGATAAAAATGTGGATTTTATTTTAAATATTTAGAGGTGCTGCACAGAAATCACAAAAGTCTAAATAATTTTTTTAAAGGATATAATCGGAAAACAACTGTTTCTTTTTATTTTCCCTTGCTTCATGTAGGCTCCCTTTTAATTGGTTTCAAGCCTCTTTTGATTCCTATGGCACCCGAATTGTGTATCTTGATTATTATATATAAGATATTTTATTGTTTAGTTGATGCTCGAAATGTGCACTGAATACAGACGACCGTTTAAACAGAAAAATTGTTTGTTTAATTGCCTGCAAGTGCAGTGTGTGGAATCATACATTATTTGAATAGCTTTAAGTCCTGCTGCAGTATGCAGTATGCAGTGTGCAGGATACCCGAAACCCAAACCAAAATTGAAGAGCCCCGTCCGGAGAATTGCAGGCAGAAGCCAAATGTCAATAGCATACAAATGGGATAAATTTGTATCCCATGTATGTATGTGTGTGTGTACATAGATATTTGTGTTCTTGGGTTTGTAGACACATTTTGTTTATTGGATGCCAAAGTAAATACGAGTGTGTATCCCCATGTAGAAGTTGGATACATGAAGATAAGCACACAGATGCAGGCGCTACATATTCGCCCGTTTGCAACTGTGTGTGCGTAGGGATAGGGGGGTGGAGGGATGGGGGTTGGGGGATCAAATCGTTATCCAAGGACCTGCCCCACATCCTGCCGAGTGACGTCCATAGAGCGCTCCCTTTCCCCCGCACAAGCGCCCAATCCAAAGTCCAAAGTCCGACAGAGTGCGGTGATCTCGTGGGGAAGGGAAAAGGAAACGGAAAGGGGAGGGCAAGGGGAGAGGGAGTGGGAGTGGGTTCACAGGACTCCGTGTGACACATGAAAATGTGTCGCCAGGACCTTCCCTCTCTCTCGATCTCTCGCTCTCTCTCGCTCCCGCTCCCGCTCTCTTGGCCAGGTGCACCTACTCCCCGCTTTATTGGTCGAAAGCGGAATGGATGGCTGCGCATGGCAAAGAGAGAAAGTCCATCGCTCTGTCTCTGTCCCACAGGGGTATCTTGCGCCTTTCGCCGTCGGCTAAGCAGTGCACCACCCAACACACCCCCGCATCGCCCGCCACAGAGGGGACAGTCCAGAGGATAGGGTATCCGATTGGGCCACGGGTCCATCATTGCGGTAATACCCGGGAGTAACGCTTATCTAAGGTAACCCAAGGTCGTCGTCGAGTCACTACACAATATTTGAATTTCAGAAAAATAAAGTTTAACGTTGTTACCACGAAACACCAAAATAAGGAGATAATGAGACATCAAAACCAAAATTTACAAGTAAGACTGTATTTACTTTTTGTAACTTTTAAATAAAGAATGCCATATGTTCCTCCCAGAAACGCTTGCAATTATTTTTGGGGAACGGACTTACTAAAAGATTTTAAAATACAATTCGTACTTGTTTGTACGCCGATTCCAAAATTATTAATTTTATATTTTAAAAACTTTTGGCTTTTAAACAACAGAGCAAATGCATATTTGCTGTAAGCCGAAAATCTATTTACCACAGAAAGGAAGCCAGCTTCAGCCGAAGTTTATATACCCATGCAGCTATTGCAAAATAATAATAAATAAAAATTCTATAAAATATTTAATTTTTGTTGCCTGTATGTTTAAAAATAATCAAGCTTTGTCGATTTTCTGATCAATTTTTCGATCGTTTAAATGGCTGTTTATGATTTTTATAAATTTTCAACATTATTCTGAAATAATAAAAAATCTCTGTATCTCAAAGAATATCTGTTTTTTTTAGTTTTCCTATTCTTACTGTAGGAGCCATATGATAGTCCTCCGATCCGTTCCTAAATTAATAAACACACATTGCCACATCATAAAAAAAAATATTTATTAATTTAAGGATATTTTCCCAGAAATATGGTTACGGGTATTGACTTTAAAAACTAAATTAATTATATCATCACTTGAGAAAATATTTTCTCAATCTAAAAAGTCTTCGTGGCTTAAGCTTTTCTAAGCTTAATAATTCGTGGTTGGTTACAATAATTTACAACAACAGTTGTTGGCTATAGATTAGGCATGCATTCAACCAATTCTATAAATAAAAAAAATATTGTAAAAATATTGTTTGTTGATTTAATCAACAAAAATGTTATTTTGGTTCTTTTTTATAAGATATTATTTTAGACCTTTCATTTACAATCTAATAGTCAGCTTCTGCATAATGGATCTACAGGGTTTTCATTGTTAGCCGTCCAAATTATTTTAAATTATATTATGGATTTTTAAAACACGGTCCAAAAATATTGAGGCAATATTTTTTCTGAATGTAGGTCGGCCAAGGTCCTTGGGCCGATTTCCCTGCATTGTGGGATGGTCCACGGTCCTGTAATCTTTTCCAGCTGCAATTGACAAGTGTCCAGCAAAGTCAGAAGGGCTCCTCCACTGAAGCTGGGGCTTAAGCTGGGAAATTACATGTTTTGGTATCTAAACGCACATTAACCATCGCGCTCCGCAGTCCACAGCCACTTT